GAGGATGAAATGGAAGAGAGAGAAATGGAAATGAGAGAGAAATGGAAAAGAGAGAAATGGAAAAAGAGAGAGAAATGGAAATGAGAGAGAAATGAAAAGGAAATGAAAAGAGAAATGAAAAAGAGAGAAATGAGAGAAAAGAGAGAGAAATGGAAATGAGAGAGAAAAAAAAGGAAGAAATGAGAGAGAAATGGAAAAGTGAGAAACAGAAAAGAGAGAAAGGAAAGCAGAGAGAAATGAGAGGAGAAATGAAAAGAGATGAATGTAAAAGAGAGAGAAATGGAAAGAGAGAAAGAAAAAGGAAATGAAAAGAGAGAAATGGAAAATGAGAATGAAAAGAAAAAGAGAGAGGAATGTAAAAAGAGAGAAGAAATGGAGAGAGAAAAGAGAGAAAGAAATGGAAAGAGAGAAATGGAAAAGAGAAATGAAAAGAGAGAGGAATGGAAAAGAGAGAAATGGAAAAAGAGAGAAAATGAAAAGAGAGAAATGGAAAGCAGAGAGAGAAATGGAAAAGAGAAATGGAAAAGAGAGAAAGAAAAAGAGAGGAAAAAAGAGAGAAATGGAAAAGAGAGAGAGAAATGGAAAAGAGAGAAAATGGAAAAGAGAGAGAATGGAAATGAGAGAGAAATGGAAAAAGAGAGGAATGAAAAAGAGAGAGAGGAAAGAGAGAGAAAGAGAGAGAAATGGAAATGAGAGAGAAACGGAAAAGAGAGAGAAATGGAAAAGTGAGAAATGAAAAAGAGAGAGAAAAAGAGAGGAAGGAAATGAGAGAGAAATGGAAATGAGAGAGAAAAGAAAAGAGAGAAATGAAAAAGAGAGAGGAAATGTAAAAGAGAGAGAATGGAAATGAGAGAGAAAAAAAAGAGAGAAATGGAAATGAGAGAGAATGGGAAATGAGAGAGAAATGGAAAAAGAGAGAAATGAAAAAGAGAGAAAAAGAGGAATGGAAATGAGAGAGAAACAGAAAAGAGAGAAATGGAAAGCAGAGAGAGAAATGGAAATGAGAGTGAAATGGAAAAGTGAGAAATGAAAAAGAGAGAGGAATGTAAAAGAGAGAGAAATGGAAATGAGAGAGAAACGGAAAAGAGAGAAATGGAAAGCAGAGAGAGAAATGGAAATGAGAGTGAAATGGAAAAGTGAGAAATGAAAAAGAGAGAGGAATGTAAAAGAGAGAGAAATGGAAATGAGAGAGAGAAATGGAAATGAGAGAGAAATGGAAGAGAGAGAAATGGAAAAGAGAGAGAAATGAAAAGAGAGAATGAAATGAGAGAAGAGAAAAGAGAGAAATGGAAAAGAGAGAGAAATGGAAATGAGAGAAATGGAAAAGAGAAAGAAAAGAGAGAAATGGAAATGAGAGAAATGGAAAAGAGAGAAATGAAAAAGAGAGAAATGGAAAGGTAAAAGAGAGAAAATGGAAATGAGAGAATGAAAAAGAGAAAATGGAAATGAGAGAGAGAAAAAAGAGAGGAAATGGAAAAGAGAGAAATGAAAAAGAGAGAGGAATGTAAAAAGAGAGAAATGGAAAGCAGAGAGAGAAATGGAAATGAGAGAGAAATGGAAAAGAGAGAAATGAAAAAGAGAGAGGAATGTAAATGAGAGAGAAATGGAAATGAGAGAGAAATGGAAAAGAGAGAAATGGAAAAGCAGAGAGAAATGAGAAATGAGAGAGAAATGGAAAAAGAGAGAGAGAGAAAAAAGAGAGAGAAATGTAAAAGAGAGAGAAATGGAAAAGAGAGAAATGGAAAAGAGAGAGAGAAATGGAAAGAGAGTGAAATAAAAAAAGAGAGAAATGTAAAAGAGAGAGAAATGGAAAAAGAGAGAAATGGAAATGAGAAAGAGAGAGAAATGGAAAAAGAGAGAAATGAAATGAGAGAGAAATGGAAAAGAGAGAAATGAAAAAAAGAGAGAAAATGGAAAAAGAGAGAAGAAAGAGAGAGAGAGAGAAATGAAATGAGGAGAAATGCAAAAGAGAAATGAAAAGAGAGAGGAAATGTAAAAGAGAGAGAAATGGAAATGAGAGAGAAACGGAAAAGAGAGAAATGGAAAGCAGAGAGAGAAATGGAAATGAGAGTGAAATGGAAAAGTGAGAAATGAAAAAGAGAGAGGAATGTAAAAGAGAGAGAAATGGAAATGAGAGAGAAACGGAAATGAGAGAGAAATGGAAAAGTGAGAAATGAAAAAGAGAGAGGAATGTAAAAGAGAGAGGAATGGAAATGAGAGAGAAACGGAAAAGAGAGAAATGGAAAGCAGAGAGAGAAATGGAAATGAGAGTGAAATGGAAAAGTGAGAAATGAAAAAGAGAGAGGAATGTAAAAGAGAGAGAAATGGAAATGAGAGAGAAACGGAAATGAGAGAGAAATGGAAAAGTGAGAAATGAAAAAGAGAGAGGAATGTAAAAGAGAGAGAAATGGAAAAGAGAAGAGAGAAGAAACAGAAAAGAGAGAAATGGAAAAGAGAGAGAAAGAGAGAGGAAATGAAAGAGAAATGGAAAAATGAGAAATGAAAAGAGAGAAATGAAAAAAGAGAGAGAAATGGAAATGAGAGAGAAATGAGGAAAAAAGAGAGAAAAGAAAGAAAAAGAGAGAGAAATGGAAATGAGAAATGGAAAAGTGAGAAATGAAAAAGAGAGAGGAATGTAAAAGAGAGAGAAATGGAAATGAGAGAGAAACAGAAAAGAGAGAAATGGAAAGCAGAGAGAGAAATGGAAAAAATGAGAGGAAATGAAAAAATGAAAAAGAGAAATGAAAAGAGAGAGAAATGGAAAGAGAGAGAAATGGAAATGAGAGAGAAATGGAAAAGAGAGAAATGGAAAAGAGAGAGAAAGAAAAGAGAGGGAATGGTTGAGAGAGAAATGAAAAGAGAGAAATGGAAAAGAGAGAGAAATGGAAATGAGAGAGAAATGAAAAAGAGAGGAATGGAAAAAGAGAGAGAAATGGAAATGAGAGAGAAATGGAAAAGTGAGAAATGAAAAAAAGAGAGAGGAAAAAAAGAGAGAGAAATGGAAATGAGAGAGAAACAGAAAAGAGAGAAATGGAAAGCAGAGAGAGAAATGGAAATGAGAGGAAATGGAAATGAGAGAAATGAAAAGAAGAGAAATGAAAAGAGAGAGAAATGAGAAAAGAGAGAAATGGAAATGAGAGAGAGAAGAAAATGAGAGAGAAGCAAAAAGAGAGAAATGAAAAGAGAGAGGAAAAAGAGAGAATGGAAATGAGAGAGAAAGAAAAAGAGAAAGAAAAGAGAGAGAAATGAAAGAGAAAATGGAAAAGAGAAAAATGAAAAGAGAGAGAGAGAGAAATGGAAATGAGAGAGAAATGGAAAAAAGAGAAAGAAAAAAAGAGAGAGGAATGTAAAAGAGAGAGAAATGGAAATGAGAGAGAAATGGAAAAGAGAGAAAAATGAAAAGAGAGAAATGGAAATGAGAGAGAAAAATGAAAAGAGAGAAATGAAAAAGAGAATGAAAAAGAGAGAGAAATGGAAAAGAGAGAAAATGGAAATGAGAGAGAAAGAAAAGAGAGAAATGAAAAGAGAGAAAAAAGAGAGAGGAATGGAAAGAGAGAAATAAGAAAAGAGAGAAATGGAAAAGAAAAGAGAATGGAAATGAGAAGGAAAATGGGAAATGAAAAGAGAGAAATGAAAAAGAAGAGAAATGGAAATGAAAAAGAAATGAGAGAGAAATGGAAAAGTGAGGAAAAAGGAAAAAAAGAGAGAGAAGAAATGAGAAAAAAGAAAAAGAAAGAGAGAAATGAGAGAGAAATGGAAAAAGAGAAATGAAAAATGAGAAAAAAAGAGAAATGAAAATGGAAGAGAGGAAATGTAAAAGAGAGAGAAATGGAAATGAGAGAGAAAAAAAGAGAGAAATGGAAAAGAGAAAGAGAGAGAAAAGAAAAGAGAGGAATGGAAAAGTGAAAATGAAAAAAGAGAGAAAGGAAATGAGAAAAGAAAAGAGAGAAATGGAGAGAGAGAAATGGAAATGAGAGAGAAATGGAAAAGAGAAATGAAAAAGAGAGAGGAATATAAAAGAGAGAGAAATGGAAATGAGAGAGAAACAGAAAGGAGAGAAATGGAAAGCAGAGAGAGAAATGAAATGAATTAAAAATGGAAAATGTAAAAAGAGAGAAAAAAGAGAGAAAAAGAGAAAAAGAGAGAGAAATGGAAATGAGAGAGAAATGGAAATTTAAGAGAGATGAAATGAGAAGAAATGGAAAAAGAAAAGAAAAGAGAAATGAAAAGAGAGAGGAATGGAAAAGAGAGAGAAATGGAAAAGAGAGAAATGGAAAGCAGAGAGAGAATGGAAATGAGAGAAATGGAAAAATAGAAAAAAGAAAATGGAAAAAGAGAGAGAAATGGAAATGAGAGAGAGAGAAATGGAAAAAGAGAAATGGAAAAAGAGAGAGAAATGGAAAAGAGAGAAATGGAAAATGAGAAGAAAAGAGAGAAATGAGAGAGAAATGGAAAAGAGAGAAATGAAAAAAGAGAGAAATGTAAAAGAGAGAGAAATGGAAATGAGAGAGAAAATGGAAAAAAAGAGAGAAATGGAAAAGAGAGAGAAATGAGAAAAGAGAGAGAAATGGAAAAGTGAGAAATGAAAAGAGAGGAAAAAAAAAGAGAGAAATGGAAAAGAGAGAAGAAATGGAAATGAGAGAGAAATGGAAAAAGTGAGAAATGAAAAAGAGAGAGGAATGTAAAAGAGAGAGAAATGGAAATGAGAGAGAAAACGGAAAAAAAGAGAAATGGAAAGCAGAGAGAGAAACAAAAAAGAGAGAAATGTAAAAAGAAAAGAGAAATGAAAAAAAGAAAAGAAATTAAAAGAGAGAGAAATGGAAAAGAGAGAAATGGAAAATGAGAAAGAAATGGAAAAATTTGAGAATGAAAAAGAGAGAGAAAATAAAAGAGAAATGGAAATAGAGAGAAAGAAAAAGAAAGAGAGAAATGGATTTTCAGAGAGAGAAAAATGGAAATGAGAGAAAAAAAGGAAATGGAAAAGAGAGAAAGAGAGAAATTTAAAAGAGAGAGGAATGGAAAAGAGAGAGAAATGGAAAGAGAGAAAGAGAAATGGAAAAGAGAGAGAAATGGAAAAAAGAGAAATGAAAAAGAGAGGAATGTAAAAGAGAGAAAGGAAATGAGAGAAAAGAAAAGAGAGAAATGGAAAGAGAGAAAGAGAAACAGAAATGGAAAGAAAGTGAAATGGAAAAGTGAGAAATGAAAAAGAGAGGAATAAAGAGAATGTAAAAGAGAGAGAAATGGAAATGAGAGAAATGGAAAAGAGAGAGAAATGGATGAAAAAGAGAAGAGAAAAGAAAGAATGAAAGAGAGAGAGAATGGAAAAGAGAGAGAAATGGAAATGAGAGAGAAAGAAGAAATGAAAAAGGAAAGAGAGAGAATGGAAATGAGAGAGAAATGAGAAAGAAAAAGAGAAAAAATGAGAAATGGAAAAGAGAAAAGAAAAAGAGAAATTTAAAGAGAGAAATGAGAGAAAAAGAAAAGAGAAATGGAAAAGAGAGAGAAATGGAAAGAAAAAGTGAAATGAAAAAGAAAGAAAGAAGAGAAATGGGAAAAGAAGAGAAATGGAAAAGAGAAAGAAAGAAAGGAAAAAGAGAGAAAAAATTAAAGAAAAAAGGAAGAGAAAATGGAAAAGAGTAAAATGGAAAAGAGAAAAAGAGAAATGAAAAGAGAGAGAATGAAAAGAGAGAGAAATGGAAATGAGAGAAATGGAAAAGAGAGAAATGGAAAGCAGAGAGAGAAATGGAAAAAGAGAAAGAAATGAGAAAATGAAAAGAGAGAAATGTAAAAAGAGAGAAAGAAAGAAAAGAAAAGAGAGAAATGGAAATGAGAGAGAAATGGGAAAAGTGATGAAAATGTGAGAAATGAAAAAGAGAGAAATAAAAGAGAGAGGAAAAGAAATGAAAAGAGAAATGAAAAGAGAAATGGAAAAGAGAAAGAAAAATAGAAATGAGAGGAAAAAAGAAAGAGAGAAATGAAAAAAGAGAGAAAATGGAAAAAGAGAAAGAAAAAGAAAGAAAAGAAAAAGAGAGAGAAAAAATGGAAAAGAAAAGAGAGAAATGAAAAAAGAAAGAAATGTGAAAAAGAGAGAGAAATGGAAAAGAGAGAGAAAAGAAAAGAGAGAAATGAGAAAAAAGAAAGAAAAAGAGAGAAATGGAAATGAGAGAGAAATGGAAAAGAGAAAACATGATTGGGAAAAAGAGAGAAGTGGAAGAGAATGGAAAAGAGAGAAATGGAAATGAGAATTAAATAGAAAAAAGAGAGAAAGGAAAAGGAAAGAGAAATGGAAAGAGAAATGAAAAGAAAGAGAAAGAGAAATGAAAAAGAGAGAAAAGAGAAGAAATGAAAAAGAGAAACGGAAAAGAGAGAAATGAAAAGAGAGAAATGAAATGAGAAAATGGAAGAGAAAATGGAAAAATTGAGAGAAATGAAAAAGAGAGAAATGGAAAATATAAAGAAAGGAGAGAAATGGAAAAGAGAGAAATGGAAAAAAGAGAAATTAAAAAAATGAAAAGAAAAAGAGAGAGAAATGGAAAAGAGAGAAATGGAAAAGAGAGAAAGAAAAGAGAAATGAATGAAATGGAAAGAGAAAGAAAAAGAGAGAGGAAATGTAAAAAGAGAGAAATGGAAAGAGAAAGAGAGAGAGAAAAGAAATGGAAAAGAGAGAGGAATGGAAAAGGAGAAATGAAAAGAGAGAGAAAATGAAAAAGAGAGAGAAATGGAAATGAGAGAAATGGAAAATAGAAAATGAAAAAGAGAGAAATTAAAAATAGAAAGAGAAATGGAAATGAGAGAGAAATAAAAGAGAAATGAAAAGAAAAAGAGAAAATGAAAAAAGAGAAAAAAGAAAATGGAAAAGAGAGAAATAGAAAAAGAGAAATGGAAAAGAGAGAGAAATGGAAATGAGAGAAATGGAAAAGAGAAATGAAAAAGAGAGATAAAAATGTAAATAAAGAGAGAAATGGAAAAAATTTAAGAGAAAAGAAAATGAGAGAAAATGGAAAAGAGAGAAATGAAAAGAGAGAAATGGAAAAGAGAGATTTGCAATTGAAAAGATAAAAGTGCCGTCTGAAAAGAGAGAAATGAAATGAGAGAGAATGGAAATTGAGAGATTTGGAAAATAGAGAAATGGAAAAAAGGAAATTAATGAGAGAGAAATGGAAAAGAGAAGAAATGAAAAAAGAAAAAAGAGAGAGAAATGGAAAAGAGAAGAAAGTGAGAAATCAAAAAAAGAGGAATGTAAAAAGAGAGAAATGGAAATGAGAGAGAAAGAAAAGAGAGAAATGGAAAAGAGATAAAATGGAAATGAGAAAGAAAAGTGAGAAATGAAAAAGAGAGAGGAAATGTAAAAGAGAGAGAAATGGAAATGAGAGAGAAAAATGAAAAAGAGAAAAATGGAAAAGAGAGAAATGGAAATGAGAGAAAGAAAAGAAAGAAAAGAAAAAAGAGTAAAATGAAAAGAAAGAGAAATGAAAAAGAGAAATGAAAAGAGAAAAAAAAAAGAGAAATGGAAAGAGAAAAAAAAAGAGAAATGTAAAAGAGAGAGAAAAAAGAGAGAGAAAAGGAAAAGAAAGAGAGAAAAGAGAAGAAAAAAAAATGGAAAGTGAGAAATAAAAAGAGAGAAATGGAAAAGAGAAAAAGAGAGGAAATGGAAAAAAGAAAAATGAAAAGAAAAATGAAAAAAAGAGAGAAATGGAAAGAGAGAGAAATGGAAAAGAGAGAAATGGAAGAAAGAGAGAAAAGAAATGAGTCAAGAGAGAAGTGAAATGGAAAAGTGAGAAATGAAAAAGAGAGAGGAACATAAAGAAAGAAAAATGGAAAAAGAGAGAGAAAAGAGAGAAAAGAGAGAGAAATGGAAAAGAAAGAGAAATGGAAAGTGAGAAATGAAAAGAGAGAGGAAAAAAAAGAGAGAAATGGAAATGAGAGAGAAAAGAAAAGAGAGAAATGGAAAGCAGAGAGAGAAATCAAAAATGAGATGAAAATGGAAAAGAAAAAATGAAAAAAGAAGGAATAAAAAAGAGAGAGAAATGGAAAAGAGAAGAAATTGAAAAGAGAGAAATGGAAAACAAGAGAGAATGGAAAAAGAGAGAAAGAAATTTTCAAAAAAAAAAGAGAAAAATAAAAAAGAGAGAAATGGAAAGAGAGAGAAACAGAAAAGAGAGAAATGGAAAAAAGAGAGAAAAAAGAGAGAGAAAGAAATGAAAAATGAGAAAAGAAAATAAGAGATGAATGAGAAGAAAAAAGAAAAGAGAAAAAGAGAGGAAATGAAGAGAAAGAAAAAAGAGAAATGGAATTGAGAGAAAGAAAAGTAGAAAAAGGGAGAGGAATGGAAATTAAATATGAAATGTAAAAAACAGAAAAATGAAAAAAAAGAAAAAAGAAAAATGGAAAAGAAAAGAAAAGAGAGAAATGGAAATGAGAGAGAAAAAGAGAGAAAAAGAGAAATAGAAAAAAAAAGAGAAATGAAAAAGAAAATGGAAGAGAAATGAAAAAGAGAGAAATGGAAAATGAGGGAGAAAAATAAAGAGAGAAAAAAAAGAGAGAAATGGGAAATTAAAAAAAGAAATAAAAGAAAGAAAGAAAAGAGAAATGGAAAAGAGAATAAAATGAAATGATTGAAAACAAAAAAAAAGAGAGGAAAAGAAAAAGAGAAATGAAAAAAAAGCTCTGGAAAAGAGAGAAATTTTGAAAGAGAGAGAGAAAAGAAAGAAATAAAGAGAAAAAATGAAAAAGAGAAATGAAAAAAATGATGTAAAAAGAGAAATGAAAAAGAGAAATGGAAAAAGAGAAAAATGGAAAAGAGAGAAATGAAAGAAAGGAAATGAAAAGAAAGATTTTGAGATTCAAAAAAAGAAAAAAGAAGAGAGGAAAAGAAAGAGAGAAAGGGGAAAATTAAAGAAATGGAGAAATTTGAAAAAAAGAAAAATGGAGAAATAAAAGAGAAATGGAAAAGAGAGAAATGGAAAAGAGAAATGGGAAAAGAGAGAAAGAAAAGAGAAATGGAAAAAGAAAGAAAAGAGAAAAAAGAAAAAGAGGAAATGTTTCAAAGAAAAGAAAATAAAAAGAAAGAAAATGGAAATGAGAGAGAAATGGAAAATTAAAAAAAAGAGATGAAAAATGAAAAAGAAAGAAAAAAGAAAATGAGAGAAAATGGAAATGAGAGAAAAAAAAGAAAAAGAGAGAAATGAAAAAAGAAAAGAAAAAAAAGAAAGAAAAAATGAAAGAGAAGAGAAACAAAAATGAGAGAAAAAAGGAAAAGAGAGAAATGAAAAGAGAGAGAAAATGGAAAAAAGAAAAAATGAAAAAAAAGAGAAAATTGAAATGAGAAAGAAAAGGAAAGAAATTAAATATGAAAAAAGAAAGAAAAGAGAAAGAATGAGAGAAAAAAAGAGAGAAATAAAAAGAAAGAAAGAGAAAAAGAAATGATTGAAATGAAAAAAAAGTGAAATGAAAAAGTTTCGAGAGAAAGAAAGAAAAAGAGAAAGAAAACCAGAAGAAAGAAAATATATAAAATTCAAAGAAATTAAAATGGAGAGAAAGGAAAAGAAAAAAGAGAGAAAAAATGCGAGAAATAAAATGAAAGAGAAAGAGAATACACATGAATTGAAAAATAAATGAAGTCTGAAATAAAAGTTTTGAAATTCAAAAAAGAAAAAGAAGAATAAAAAAGAGAGAAATGAAAAAAAAGAAAGAAATGAAAGAAAGATTTAAAGAAAAAAAATGATGTAAATGGAGAAAGAAAAGAGAAATGGAAAAGAGAGAAATGGAAAAGAGAAATCAAAGAAAAGAAAAATGAAAGAAAAAGAAAAAGAAAAGAGAGAGAAAAGGAAAAAAAAGAAATGGAAAGAAAGAAAAATTCCATTTTCAAATGAAATTAAAAAAGATGAATTTAAATTAAAAATGAAATGAAAATGAAAAATGGAAAAGAAAGAAAAAGAAAAGAAAAATTTGCATGAAAGAAAGAAATAAAAGAAAGAGAAATAGTAAAGAGAGGAATTCAAAAGAGAAAAATACAATTGTGAAAAAAAAGAAACAAAATGGAAAAAGAAAATAAAAAGAAATGGTAGATGTATTGGAAAGAAAGAAAAGAAAAGAAAGAAAGTGAGAAAAGAAAAAAGAGAAATGGAAAAGAGAAAAATAAGAAATGAAAAAGAAAAAAAATGGAAATGAAAGAAAGAAAAGAAAAAAAAAAGAGAGCTGAAAGAAATGAAAACAGAAAGGAAGAAAATAAAAAGAAAGAAAGAAAAGAAAAGAAAGAATGTAAAAAAAGAGAAAAAAATGAATAAAAAGTGAGAAATAAAAATAAAAATGGAAAAGAGAAAAATGAAAAGATTGTATCAAAGAAAAAGAAAGAGAAAAAGAAAAAAGACAAGAAAGAAAGAAAGAAAGAAAGAAAGAAAGAAAGAAAGAAATATAAAAAAAGAAAGAAAAAAAAATGGTAGATGAAAAGAAAAATGAAAAAAAAATGGAAAAAGAGAGGAAATAAAAAGAGAAATGGAAAAAAGAGAGAGAAATGAAAAAAGAAAAAGGAAAGAAAAGAAAGAGAAGTTTCGAAAGAAAAAGAAAAGAAAAGTGAAAATTTTTTGAAAAAAGAACAAATAAAACTTCAAAAAAAAAAATGGAAATGAAAAACAAAGAAAAAAAAAAATAAAAAAGAGTGAGAAAAAAAGAAAGAAATGGAAAAGAGAAAAAGAAAAAAAAAAAAGAAATAAAAATGGAGAAAGAAATAAAAAAGAAAAGAGAAATGGAAAAGAAATGAAAAAAAAATTGAAAAGAGAAAAAAGAAAAAGAAAATAGAAAGAGAAAAGAAATTAAAAATGGTAAAAGAAAAGAGAAAAAAAAAAAAGAAAAAAATGAGAGAGAAACGGGAAAAAAGAGAAATGAAAAGAGAATAATTTGGATGATTGTATCAGGAAAAAAGTGCCGTCTGAAAAAAGAGAGAGAAAAGAAAGAGAAAAGAATTGTTGGATTTGAAAGAAAAAAGAAAAAAAAAAATGGAAAAGAGAGAGAGAAAAAAAAAATGAGAAAAATGGAAAAGTGAGAAATGGAAAAAGAGAAAGGACAAAAAAAAAAGAAATATGAAAAAGAGAAAGAAAGAAAAAAGAAAAAGAAAATGAAAGAAATGAAAGAAATAAATTTAAAAAAGAAAAAAAAGAGAAATTAAAAAAAAGAAATGGAAATGAAAGAGAAATGGAAAAGAGAATAAAATGAAGAGAAAAGAGAAAAAGGGAAATGGAAAAGAAGAAATGAAAGAAAAAGAAAAGAAAAAAAGAGAGAAATGAAAAAGAGAGAGAAAGAAAGAAAAAAGAGAAAAAGAGAAAGAAAGAGAGAGAAAATGAAATAAAAGAAAAAAAAAAAAAAAAAAAAAAGAGAAATAGAAAGACAAAGAAAAAAGAAAGAGAATGGAAAGAAAAGAAAAGAAAAAGGGAAAGAAAGAAATATGGTAGAAATGAATTTAAAAAAAAAATGAAAAATGCAAGAGAAAAAAGAAATGGAAAAGAAAATAATTTGCAAAACAAAAAGAAAAGAGAAACAAAGAAAAAAGAAAATGGAAGAAAGAATTACGAAAGAAAGAAGGAAATTGGAAAGAAAGAAAGAAAGAGAGAAAGAAAGAAACAAAAAAAAAGAAAAATATGGAAATGAAAAGACAAAATGAAAAAAAAATGGAAAATGAGAGAAAAAAAAAAAAGAGAAATGGAAAAAGAGAAAAAATTGAAAGAAAGAAAAATGGTCTGAAAGAAAGAAAGAATTCAAGAAAAAGCTCGGGCAATTGAAAAAGAAATTGAAAAGAAAAATGGAAAAGGAAGAGAAATAAATTAAAATGGTAGATGTATTTAAAGAAAAAAAAAAGAAAGAAAAGAAAGAAAGAAAAGAAAAATGAAAAAAGAGAAAAGAAAGAAAAATTGTATCAAAGAAAAGTGAAAAAAAAAAAAATAAAAGAGAAACAAAGAAAAGAAAACAAAAGAATTTTCAAGAAAGAAATAAAAAAAAGAAATAAATTAAAGTAAAGAGATGAATTTAAAGAAAAAAAATGAAAAAAAAAGAAAAGAAATAAAAGAGAAATGGAAAAGAGAAAAACAAATGATGAAAATCAAATGGAAAAGAGAAACTGAAAAAGAAGAGAAAGACATTCAACGAAAGAAAGAAAAGAAAAGGAAAAGAAAGAAAGAAACATATAAAGAAAGCTTCAAAAAAATTAAAAATGGAAGATGTATTTAAAAGAAAAAAATGAAAATGGAAAATGAAAATAAAAGAGAAATGAAAAAGAGAATAAATGATTGTATCAAAAAAAGAAAAGTCTGAAATAAGACATTCAAAGAAAGCTCGGGCAATTGAAAAGGAAATGAAAACAAATAAAAAAGAAAAAATGAAAAATAGAGTAAATGTAAAAAATGAAAAAAAATGATGAAAATGCGAGAGAAAAGAAAAGAGAAATGGAAAAAGAATAATTTGCAAAGAAAATCAAAAAAAGTGAGTCTGAAATAGAAAGTTTCGAGAATTCAGAAAAAGAGGGAAATTGTTTCCACAAAATAAGAAAATGGAAAGGGCTTCAAATAAATTAAAAAGAAGATGTATTTAAAAGAAAAAAAATGATGAAAAAGAAATGAAAGAAAGAAATGGAAAAAGAAAATGGAAATGAGAAAATCAAATAAAAGGCCGTCTGAAAAAGAGTTTCGAAATTCAATTTTCAAAGAGGGCAATTTTTTCCAGAGAGAAAGAAAGAAAGAAATAAAGGGCTTCAAAAAATTAAATATAGAAAGATGTAGAGAAAAAAAAAAATGATGAAAAAGAAAATACGGGGAAATAAAAGAGAAATGGAAAAGAAAAATGGAAATGAGAAATCAAAAAAAAAGTGCCGTCTGAAAGAAGTAGTTTCGAGAAAGAAAGAATGAAAAGTTTCCATTTTTCAAAAAATAGAAAGCTTCAAAAAATTAAATATGGTAATGTAAGAAAGAAAAAAAAATGATGTAAAAGAGAGAAATGAAAAGAGAAATGAAAAAAAAAAAAAGAGAAATGAAAGAAAAGAAAATGTAAATGTCTGAAAGGAAAGAAAGTTTCGAAATTCAAAGAAAGAAAAAAAGAAAGATTGAAAGAAAGAAAGAAAAAAAGAGACAAATAAAAAAAAAAATTAAATATGAAAAAAAAAAATTTAAAGAAAAAAAAATGATGTAAAATGAGAAAGAAAAAAAAGAGAAATGGAAAAGAGAAGAAATTTGCATGATTGTATCAAATAAAAGAGCCTGTCTGAAATAGTAGTTTCGAAAATTCAATTGAAAAAAAAGGCAAAAGAAAAACAAATATAAAGAAAAATCAAAAAATTAAATAGAAAGATGTATTTAAATTAAAAAAAATGTAAAATGCGTGAGAAATAAAAGAGAAATGGAAAAGAAATAAGAGACAAATTGTATCAAAGAAAAATGCCGTGGGAAATAGAATTCAAAAAGAAAGAAATTGTTTCCATTTTCAAAAAGAAAACATAGAAAGAAAGGAAAAAATTAAATAAAGAAAATGTAAAGAAATTAAAAAAAAGAAAAAATAAGTGAGAAATAAAGAAAAGACAAAAGAAAAAAATAATTGGAAATGAGAGAATCAAATAAAAGAAAAATCTGAAATAAAGTTTCGACATTCAATTTTCAAAAAAAGAAAGAGAATTTTTCCATTTTCAAGAAAGAAGAAATAAAGGGAAAAATAAAAAAAGAAAGAGAGAAATTTAAATTAAAAAAGAAATGTAAAAAATGAAAAGAGAAATAAAAGAAAATGGAAAAGAGAATAAAAAAATGATTGTAAGAAAGAAAAAGTGCCGTCTGAAATAGTAGTTTCGAATTCAAAAGAAAGAAAGAAAGCAATTGTTTCCAAAAGAGAAAATACATATAAATGGCTTTCAAATAAAGAAAAATATGGTAGAGTAAAGAAAATTAAAAAAATGATGAAAAAAAGAGAAAAATGAAAAGAGAAATGGAAAAGAGAATAATTTGAATGATTGTATCAAAAAAAAGTGCCGAGAAATAGTACAGGGAATTCAATTTTCAGAGAAATTGTTTCCATTTTCAAGAAAGAGAAATAAAGGGCTTCAAATAAATTAAATATGAAAGATGTATTTAAAGAAAAAAAAAAATGATGTAAAGAAAGTGAGAAATGGAAAAGAGAAATGAAAAAAGAATAATTTGCATGAAAGTATCAAATAAAAGAGAGAAAAAAAAGTAGAGAAACATTCAATTTTCAAAATGGAAAATTGAAAGAAATGGAAAAAAGAAAAAAAAACATATAAAGGGCTTCAAATAAATTAAATAAGGAAAGAAAATTTAAATTAAAAAATGAAATGTAAAATGCGTGAGAAATAAAAGAGAAATGGAAAAGAGAAAAAGAAAAATGATTGTAAAAATAAAAGTGCCGTCTGAAATAGAAAGTTTCGACATTCAAGAGAGAAATGGCAATTGAAAAAAAGAAAGAAAAGAAAGAAATATAAAGGGAAAGAAATAAATTAAAGAAAGAGATGTATTTAAATTAAAAAAAATGAATGTAAAATGCGTGAAAAATAAAAGAAAGAAATGGAAATGAGAATAAGAAATGAAAGAAAGAAAATAAAAATGAGTCTGAAATAAAGAAAAAAACATTCAAAAAAGAGAAATGAAAAAATTTTTCCATTGAAAAAAAAAAAGACAGAAAAAAAAAAAGAAAAATAAATTAAATATGGTAGAAAAAGAAAAAAAAAAAAAAAATGATGTAAAATGCGTGAGAAAAAAAAAGAAATGGAAAAGAGAATAAGAAAATGAAGATCAAATAAAAGTGAGTCTGAAATAGTAAAAAAGACATTCAATTTTCAGCTCGGGACGAAAAAATTTTCAAGAAAGATATAAAGGGCTTCAAAAAAATTAAAAGGTAGAAATTTAAAATTAAAAAAATGAATGTAAAATGAAAGAGAAATAAAAGAGAAATGGAAAAAGAGAATAATTTGAAATGATTGTAAGAAATAAAAGTGAGTCTGAAATAGTAGTTTCGACATTCAATTTTCAAAAAGAAAAAATTTTCAAAGAAAGAAATGGAAAGAGCTTCAAATAAATTAAAATATGGTAGATGAATTTAAAAGAAAAAAAAATGATGAAAAGAAAGTGAGAAATGAAAAGAGAAATGGAAAAAAGAGAATAATTTGAATGAAATATCAAATAAAAAAGAAATCTGAAATAGTAGAGAAACATTCAAAAAGAGAGCTGGGGCAATTGTTTCCAAAGAAAGAAAAAGCAATAGAAAGGGCTTCAAATAAATTAAATATGGTAGATGTATTTAAAAGAAAAAAATGATGTGAAAAATGAAAAGAAAAAAAGAGAAATGGAAAGAGAAGATTTGAAAATGATTGAGAGAAAATAAAAAAGATGTCTGAAAAGAGTAAAAATGACATTCAATTGAAAAACAAAGGCAATTGTTTCCAAAAAAGAAAAGCACATATAAAGGCTTCAAATAAATTAAAAATGGAAATGTAAGAATTAAAAAAAATGATGTAAAATGCGTGAGAAGAAAGAAAAGAGAAATGGAAAGAGAAGAAAAAATGATTGTATCAAATAAAAAAAAGAGTCTGAAATAGTAAAAGAGAAATTCAATTTTCAAAAGAAATTGTTTCCATTTTCAAATAAAAGATATAAAGGGTTTCAAATAAATTAAATAAAGAAAGAAAAAAAAAAATTAAAAAGAGAAATGTAAAATGAAAGAGAGAAATGAAAAAAAGAAATGGAAAAGAGAATAAAGAAAAATGAAAAATCAAATAAAGAAATGTCTGAAATAATAGAAAAGAAATTCAAAGAAAGAAAGGGCAATTGTTTCCAAAAGAAAGAAAGCACATAAAAAGGGAAAAAAGAAATTAAATATGGAAATGAAAAAGAGAAAAAAAAAAAATGAAATGTAAAATGAGAGAAAAAAAAAAAGAAATGAAAAAAAGAGAAGAAAGAAAGAAAGAAAGAAAAAAAGAAAAGAAAGAAAGAAAGAAAAAAGAAAGAAAAAAAAAGAGAAAAAAGACGGGAAAATGAAAAGAGAAATGAAAACAAAAATGGAAAAAGAAAAAAAGAAAAGAAATCAAAAAATTAAAAATGGTAGAGAGAAAAAAAAAAAAAAAAAAATGAAAGAAAAGAAAGTGAAAAATAAAAGAGAAATGGAAAGAGAGAAAAAGATGATTGAAATCAAATAAAAAAGCCGTCTGAAAAAAAAGTTTCGAAAGAAAATTTTCAGCTCGGGCAATTGAAAAGAAAGAAAAGAAAAAGGAAATAAATTAAATATGGTAGATGTAAGAAAAAAAAAAATGATGTAAAAAAAAAGAAAATAAATGGAAATGGAAAAGAGAATAATTGAGGAAATTGTAAAAGAAAACAAAAAAAGAGTCTGAAAAAGTATTTTCGAGAAGAAAGAAAAGAAAAGGAAAGAAAAAAGAAAGAATTTTCAAACAAAAAAAAGAGAAATAAAAGGGAAATGAAAAAGAAATTAAAAACAAAAAAAAAGAAAACAAAAAAAAAAAAAAGAAAAGAAATAAAAAGAAAATGGAAAAGAGAATAAAAAATGAAAGAAAGAAAGAAAAAAGAAAGAAAGAAAGAGACAAAAGAGAAATTCAGAGAGAAATGAAAAGGAAAATGAAAAAAAAGAGAAAAAGAGGTTCAAAGAAAAAAAAAATGTAGATGTATTTAAAAAGAAAAAAAGAAAGTGGAAAAAAAAAAGAAAGAAAGAAAAAGAGAAATGAAAAAAAGAGACAAAAAAAAAAAAAAAGAGTTGGAAATGAAAAGACAAATGATTTTCAAAAAAGGATAAAAGAGAAAAAAAAGAAATGAAAATGTAAGAGAGATTTAAAAAAGAAAGAAAGAAAAGGAAAAAAAGAGAAATGAAAAAGAGAAATTTGCATGAAAAAAGAAAAAGAAACAAAATAGAGTTTCGAAATTCAAAAAAAGGGAAATGAAAAGAAAAAAAAAAAAAATAAAAAGAAATGGAAAATGTAAGAGAAATTTAAAAAAAGAAAAGAAAGAGAAAAAAAAGAGAAATGAAAAAGAAAAAACAAAAAAGAGAAAAGAAAAAATGAAAGGGAAATGAAAAGAGAAAGAAAGAGAAAAGAAAGAAAAGAAAACAAAAAAAAAAATAAAAGAAAGATGGAAATGGATTTAAAAAAAAAAGGAAAGAAAAAAGAGAAAAGAAAAAAGAGAAATGAAAAAAGAGAAAAATGAAAAAGAGAAAATGAAAAGAGAGAAATGAAAAAAAAAAAAAGAAAAAAAGAGAGAAATGGAAAAGAGAGAAAAAAAAAAAGAAAAAAAAAGAGAAAAAAGAAAAATTAAAAAGGAAAGAGAGAAAAGAAAAATAAAAAAATGAAAGAAAAAATGAAAAGAAAAAGAAAGAAAAAAGAAAAAGAAGAAATGATTGAAAAGAAAAAGAAAAAGAAAATAGAAAATGAAAAAATTCAAGAGAGAAAAAAAATTGAAAGGAAAAGAAAAGAAAAAAAAGAGAAAAAAATGAAAAAAAAGAAAAATTTAAATGAGAAAAAAAATGGACAAAAGAGAAAAGAGAAATGAAAAAGAAATGGAAAAGAAAATAGAAAACATGAAATTGAGAAAAAATGAGTCTGAAAAAAAAGAAAGAATGAAAAAGAGAAAAAGAAAGAAAAGAAAGAAACAAAAGAAAAGAAACAAAAAAGAAAAGAGAAAGAAAATACAGGGAAATGAAAAGACAAATTGAAAACAAATGGAAAAAAGAGAAACAAAAAAAAGAAAATGAAAAGAAAGAGAAAAAAAGAAATACCAAAAAAAGAAAAAGAAAGAAAAAAGAAAGAAAGAAAATGAAAAAAAAAAAAGAAAAAAGAGAGAAAAAAGAGAAATGAAAAGGAAAAGAGACAAAATGAAAAAAGAAAAAGAAAAGAGAAAATGTAAATGAGAGAAAAGAAAAGAAAGAAAAGAAAAAAGTTTAAAAGAAAGAAACAAACAAAAAAAGAAAAAAGAAAAAGAAATGGAAATGAAAAAGAAATGAAAAAGAAAAATGGAAATGAAATGAGAAAAAAGAAAAGAAAAGAAAGAAAGAAAGAAAGAAAAGAAATGAAAGAAAGAAAAAAGAAATGGAAAGAAAGAGAAAAAAAAAAAAAGAGAGAAAAGGAAAAAAGAAAATGAAAAAAAAGAGAAAAATGAAAAAAAAAAGAGAAATGAAAAAAAAGAAAAATGAAAAAGAGAAAATGGAAAAAAGATGAAAAAAAGGAAAATAAAAAGAGAAATGAAAAAGGAAAAGAGAGAAAATGAAACAGAGAAATGAAAATGGAAAAGAAAAAAATGAAAAAGAGTTTGAAAGAAAAGAAAAAGAGAAAGAAAGAAAGAGAAAAAGGAAAGAAAGAAAGAAAGATGGAAAAAAAAAAAAGAAAAAGAAAAGATGAATTTAAATTAAAAAAAAATGAGAAAAATGCGAAAGAAAAAGAAAGAAAAATGGAAAATAAGAAAATTTATGAAAAGAAATCAAAGAAAATGGTCTGAAAGAAAGAAAAAAGAAAGCTCAGGCAAACAAAAAAGAAAAAAAAAATGGAAAGAAAAACAAAATAAAGAAATGAAATGGAAAAAGAGAAAAAAAAAAGAAGTAAAATGAATGAGAGAAATAAAAAAGAAAAAAAAAGAGAAAAGAAAGAAAAAAGAAAGAAAAATGCCTGTCTGAAAATGAAAAGAGAAAGAAAAGAGAGAAGGAAAGAAATTGAGAGAAAAATGGAAAAGAAAAAAAAAAAGAAAAATGGTAGAGAGAAATGAAAAAGAGAAATGAAAAAGATATAAGGAAAAAGAAAAAAAGAAAGAGAAAAGAAAAAAGAAAAAAGAGAAATAAGAAAAAAGAAAAGAAAAAGAAAATGAAAAGAAAATGAAAGAAAAAAGGAAAAAAGAGAAAGAAAAGAAAGAAAGAAAAGAAAGAAATATAAAAAGAAAAAATTAAAAAGTAGAATTGGAAAAAAAAAGAGAGGAAATGAGAAAGAAATAAAAGAGAAATGAAAAGAGAAAAAAAAAGAATGAAAAGAGAGAAATGAAAAAAAGAGAGAAAGAAAAAAAAAGAAATTTGAGACAAAAGAGAAAAATAGACGGGAAATGAAAAGACAAAGAATGTAAAATGGAAAAGAGAAACAAAGAAAAAAAAAGAGAGAAATGAAAAAAGAATGAAAAAAGAAAGAAAATGAGAAAGAAAGAAAAGAGAAAAGAAAGAAAGAAAGAGAAAAAGAGAAAAAGAAATGGAAATGAGAAAAGACAAATGAAAACAAAAATGGAAAAAGAAAGAAAAAAAAAAAGAGAGAAAATGAAAAAGAGAAAAAGAAAAAAAAAAAATGGAAAAGAAAGAAAAATGGAAAAAGAAAAAGAAAAGAAAACAGTAAAAGAGAAAAATATACATTGGAAATGAAAAGACAAAGAAAAACAAAAATGAAAAGAGAAGAAAAAGAAAAAAAAATAAGAAAGATTTTGAAAGAGAGAAATAAAAAAGAAAGAAAAGAATGAAAGAGAGAAATGAAAAGAGAGAAAAAAAGAGAGAAAAAGAGAGAAAATGAAAAGACAAATGAAAAGAGAAAAATGTAAGAGAGAAACAAAGAAAAGTGAAAATGAAAAGAAAAGAAAGAAAGAAAAGAGAGAAAAAGAAAGAAGAAAGAAAAAAGAAAAAAAGAAAAAGAAAGAAAGAAAAGATTTAAAAAGAGAAAAAAATGGAAATGAGAGAAAAGAAAAAAGAAATGGAAAAGAGAATAAGAAAAGAAAGAAAGAAAGAAAAAGAAAAAGAAAAGAAAGAAAAAAAAAGAAAGAATTTAAAACAAAAGAATGGAAAGAGAGAAAAGGAAAAAAGAGACAAAATGAAAAAAAAAAAAAGAAAAAGAAAAAGAAAAAAAGAAATTAGAGAAAAAAAAAAATGAAAGAAAAAGGAAAGGAAAGAAAGAGAAAAGAAAAAGAAAGAAAAAGAAAAAGAAAAATGAAAAGAAAGAAAAACAAAAATGGAAAAGAGAAAGAAATGAAAATGAGAAAGAAATGAAAGAGAAAAAGAAAAATGAGAAAGAAAAGAAAAGAAAAGAGAAATGGAAAAAAGAGAAAATGGAAAAAGGAAATGGAAAAGTGTAAAATGAAAAGAGAGAGGAAGAGAAAAAGAAAGAAATGGAAATGAGAGAAAACAAAAAAAGAGAAATGGAAAGAGAGAAAGAGAAAGAAAAATGAAATGAAAAGAAAAAAAGAGGGAAATGAAAAAGAAAAGAAAATAAAAAAAAAAAAGAAAGAGAAAAATGGAAATGAAAGAAAAAAAAAAAGAGAAAATGAAAAGAAAAAGAGAGAAATGGAAAAGAGAAAAGGAAACAAAGAGAAATGGAAAAGAAATGAAAGAGAAAAATGGAAAAGAAAAAAAGAAAAGATGAAAAAAAAAGAGAGAAATGGAAAAGAGAGAAAT